GGTGTTCTGTGGCTTGAAGGGGTCCTCAGCCAGGGGCGGCCCCTATTCCTTTCCAGACTGACCACCTCAGGGCCAGAGGCCCTTCTTGACTCAGACCAGCGTCCCCTTCTTCCTCCCCTATCGCATTCCGGGCCTTTAGAGTCAGTGCGGGCCCAAATTCCCATTTTGTAGTCTGGGCGGGGGGCTCAAAACCGAGGGGTGAGGGTGCGGGACTGGAAGCATGATCTTCTCTGGTCCTTGGTTTCCCCTCTTTGAAGGTGGTGATTCTTGTTCTGTGATTGTGGGGAGAAAGCCCAAGCACTTTAAGAGGGCAGAGCCTGGTCATAACAATAACAATGAGTAGTAAATGGCCCGGGAAGGGTGCGGCTTAGGGTTGATCAGTAACCAGAAGTAGGTCGGATGCTGCAGAAATAGCCGGCTTGTAACTAATGCCCCAGCAGGGGTGGAAAGACCATTCTGGTTGTAACAGGCCAGACTCTGTTTGCATCTTGCTTTAGTAGTATTGATTTAGGAAAAACCCAACGAGCTATTAGTGGACACCACCCACCCATCTGTGGGTTCTGGTGCCCCTGGGCTGGCATGGGCGCCAGCTGTTTACAGAGGAGGCCTGCCTGAGTCCTCTCATTTGCCCAGGGAGGGATTCTCACTGCACTGTGTTCTGACCTTACCTGCACAGCCAGAGCCAGGTTTCCAGCAGTCTGTGCCTCTGCAGAAGAGTGCAACTCATCTACACACAGGGCTCGTGTGGACCCAGAAGTGTTGATTCTTTTTTGATACTGGGGATCGAACTTGGGACCTTGTGCTTGCCAGGCAGGCAACAGAACCACTGAGCTAAATCCCCGGCCTTATAAGTGTTGATTCTTAGGTCAGGCCTCTTCTAAGTGATGCCACCCTCCCGGAGGCAGCCTTAGGCGACAGTAACTAGTATTCTCTCCATTATACAGACGGGAAAACTCAGGTACCAGGAAGTGACTTGCTGAGGTCCCACAATAGCAACAGCCTCCGAGGCTGAACCCTTAGGCCATCCGCCAACTCAACTGCCAGCTCTCTTCCCTCTGGTGCTAAACGGTCATGGCATCTGACTTCCTTCTCACTTTTGCTCTTGGAAGTTTCAAACACAGCACTCAGATCTCAGAGGTGTCAGCAGCCCCAGGCCCAGCTCTGATTCCCAGTATAGTTTACTTAAGAGTTACCTGACAGGCCCGCTGAGGCTGGATCCTCCACTGTGCTTGGTTCTTGCCCCTGCTGATGATGGAGGTGAGAAGGAGTCTATCTTGTGTCAAATGCACACTACTGTGTACAGTGGTGTAGAGCATGCTCTATAGAAAGCGGCTAGTCAGGCTGCCAGTGGGGGCTTCTCACTCCCAGACTGAGGGCTGTTTGGTCTGCCTCCCACAGAAACACCATGTAGGCGACTGGGGCTCCGACTCAGGATGACTTACGGCCATGGGCTGGAGGAATGGTGGACCTGCACCGCCTTTCCCCTGGGTCTGCTGGGGGGGAAAGGAGGGCGCATCTGTTTGGTAAGAGTAGAGGGTCAAGATCAAGGATCCAGCCCAGCTCTTCCCATGGAGATCCAGAGTGGCCAGGGCCCAGCCTAGATTCAGAGCCTCCCTCTGAGTCCCTAGTCATTCTCAAGGCTGGGCCTGACATCAGTCCCTAGCCCCTTCCAGCTTGTAAGGGGTGGTGGTGGACACAGGACAGCAATGACTATTCCTGGTACCTTTGGCATAACACTGGGTTGTTAAGATGCCTTCCCTCAAGTAAAGCAAGTTTGCTCACCCCGGTCCCCATCTCTCCCATTCTGAGTGCCCAGAGTGCCTCGGGCCTATAGGGGCTCTGGGACCTTCCTCCCACCGGAGTGGACAGAGAGACACGTTAGCTCGGTTGCCCTTGTTTACCTCCTCCTGTTTCTTTTCTCATCAAAAGGGGATCTTTTTCTTTTCATTACAAGCATAACAAGTGGGTTTTTAAAATTCAGACTATTTCAGAAAGAACTGGGGCGAAGGACATGGCAGCAGGGTCCTTCTTGACCACACCCTAAGCCATCTGGACAGAGGAAGTGCTGCCTCCCACTGCCCGGCTGTTCACTCCAGCCTCCTGTTGCTGCTTTCAGGGTTTGCCTTTGTGACTTGAGACCAAGCCCGGCTTTTGTCTGAGTGAGCACTGTGGCTGGGGACTGAAAGACAAGCAGGCAGTCCCACCGGATCATCAGCCGGGACAGACAGGAGCGTGTGCGCCCTGGCTTCCATCACCGCCCACTCCCACGTCCTGCCAGTCATCCCAGCCTTTACGTCGCCCAGGTTTATCCAGGTTTATGCTGTTGTGCAGCAGATCCTTCCATTCCTGTGGGCTTAGGGCACGCACTACAAACCATTTCCGAGGCCAGAGCCTGCCTGTAAATGCTGTTTACTTGCACTACAGCCGTTTCTTGCTCTGAACAGAAGGGAGCTGTGAGCATCTGCCCAAGTCCTGGGGGCACTCGGGGGTGGGTGGGTGGAAACTGCCTCCTACTCCCAGCTGCAGAAAATGTTGGCTGCAAAGCCTGGTCTGCAGTAAAGAGAATCCAGAAGGTTCTTGAAAGCTGATTTGAGAGACACACTGGGAAGACCTATGAGGGCTTTGCCAGCAGTGAAGTCCCAAGCCAGGGCCCACACAGAGGTGTACAGACACTTTCAGTGACAGGTACAGGTACACAGAGCACAGGGCCCAAGTGCCAGGAAGACCCTGACGTTCCCCTCCATCCCGCTTCCTGGTGTCCATGTGACCCTGATCCATTGCCACCTGCCGAAAAAGAAAAAAGAGACTAAACAGAGCTGACTTTCTGCCCCCCTCACAGGGTCTCTCCGTCAAGCTGCGATCGGACTCTCTGGCAGCTTCCTTATCAATAACAAGGTTTCTTCCCACCACAACAGACCTTCCCAGTGGAGGCCAGGTCTGCCCAAAGCTTGCAGCTCTGCCCCCAGTCCCAACCCACCTCCCACAGCCTGTGGACCTGTGGCTCATGATGACTGCAGTTTTGCAGGCCCACTCAGGCTGTCCTGTATGTGCAGAGGTCCTGGCACAGGGACTGAGGCCCTCCTTCCTAGCAGTATGCAAGCAGAGATAGGTCAGACTAGATGGTACTGGTGGCCCCTTGAACCCTAAGCCAGATTCTGGATTCTGGATGAAAGAGAAAGTCCTGAGGACTCCATAGACAGCAAGAGGGGCACTGCTTAAATACCTGCTGAGCACACAAGCCAGGTGTGACTGCAACAGCCACTTGCAGATGGGGTATGGAGCTATGTGCAGTCTTCTGGCTGGAATAAGGGAACAGCTCACCTGCACCCTTGGAGGGCTTGGGACCTGCAAGGATCGGCTGGGGCCTGAGTGAATCCAGCCCTGCAGGCAGTTTAGCCAACAGGCTCCAGGCAAGAGTGGGCCCAAGGAGGGTGGGAGGAACTGGGTGCTGGGCCTGAGTGTCCTCTTCCCAACCATTACACCAAGAGCTCCCATCTCCCTTCTCTAATGCCTCTCACCCTCAGAGGGGCCACCTGGATCCCTGTCCACACGCTGTCACGTGTTGCTACCTGGGACAGGTAACCCGGTCTCCCTCCTTCCAAATGTTGCCGTGCCATTTTGGGAGCCAGTATAGGGCCTGCCACAGAGTCAGTGCACACAGAGTGCCCACCGTCCCCTCGCCCCGGTCATCATAGGCTCAAATACTGCTAATTAAATCTGGGAAAGCAAGTTGGCCTCCATCTTTCCCCCAGCTGTAACACCTTCCCACAGCCTAGCACATGTCAGCCTTCAGGAGTGCCTAGGAAGCCAAAAGGGGAAGGAAGGTCAGGTCCAGGGTTCAGCAATGGGCAAGGGACATCTGGACTTTCCCAATAGCTCCTGTGTCCCCCATCGATGGTATTCTGTCTCCAAGGCCAGCTCGTGTGGGCTGACCCCCCTGGCCTGGGGCTCAGAGCAAGCTGAAGGTTATGGCCCAGAAACTGGAAAACACATTAGTGTGCAGGGGGCCCCAACCCCCCCGCCCTCACCCCCCCCCCCCA